AATGAGGTTTTGGATGGTTTTGGTTAGTTAATTGAAATGATGCAAGTTCTTTTGAACTTACCACTAGTGTTTATATTCCTAGATTTTGTGTATAAGTTTTTTTTTTTTTTACAGAAAAATTTTGCTTAATTTCCCTTCTCACTGCACTATTATATATTGCTTCTAAGTTAAGACTCCCAAACAGTTGTTTTTCCCTGGCTCCTTTTAAGATTTTTCTCTTCATCATTGGTTTTTAGGAATTGGATTATGATATGCATAGTCAAAACCAATAGTTTTTTTCAAGTTGTTTTGCTTGGAGTTTATAGAACTACTTGGATCTGTGAACTAAACAGTTTTCTTCAAATTTGGAAAATTTTCAGCTCTTAATTCTTTTTTTTTAATTTTATTTATTTATTCATGAGAGACACAGAGAGAGGCAGAGGCCTAGGCACAGAGACAGGCAGGCTCCCTATGAGGAGCCCGATGCGGAACTTGATCCCAGGACCCTAGAATCACGACCTGAGCCAAAGGCAGGTAGATGCTCAACCACCGAATCACCCAGGTGTCCCTCAGCCCTTAATTCTTAAAAGATTTTTTTCTGTGCCTCCCTTTTTCATTTTAGATTCTAGTAATACATGTGTTACACTGCTTGATATTGTCCCACAGATAACTGATGCTATGTTTTTTCTTTTTTTTCTGTAATCTTTTTCTAATTCATGTTGGGATAGTTTCTGTTGCTGTCTTGAAGTTCACGGATCATTTCTTCTGCTGTGTCTCATCTGCTTTTAAATTCTATACAGAGTATTTGTCATTTTAGGTACAGTTTTCATTTTTGCAAGTTCTACTTGAGTAATTTCTGGTCTGCTTATTGATTTTTTCCCCTTGTTTGGGTCATAGTTTCCTTTTGTTTGATAGCTCTTGATAGAATGGCAGACATTATGCATTGTATTTATTGAATGCTAGACTTTAATTCCTTTAAATATTTTTGGACTTTGTACTGACATGTGTTTTTTTTTTTTTTTTTAAGATTTTATGTATTCATGAGAGATACAGAGAGAGGCAGAGCCTGAAGCAGAGGAAGAAGCAGGCTCCCTGTGGGGAACCTGATGTAGGACTCAATCCCAGGGTCCTGGGATCATGCCCTGAGCCAAAGGCAGATGTTCAACCACTGAGTGACCCAGGTGCCCCTGTACTGACATGTGTTAAGTTACTAAGTTACTTGGATGGAATATATTAACATATACAATAAGTGTGTGAATACCATCTTGATGGAGTTAAGTAAATCCTAAGAAAGTATTAAATGTATAAATTCATCTTTATTATAATGTCTGTTCTAAAATTCATTTTAATTATGAGTTATATAGTGGCTGGCAGCACCACATGGTACGTTTTTCTACCTCATTTTCTGTGTGGCATAATGAATAAAGAGTGATGAAATACACTGTTTTTTCTTATTTTAATGCATCATTTTCGACAGTATTCCTCTGCTTCCGTGTGATTCTGTATGTCTCCTGTTAGAAAATTAGATAATTCGGAAATACTTTGGAATAAGTAGTGTTTATTGTGTCTGTGAGGGTATAAAGACTGAGGTAGATGACTTTGTTTTATGATAGGTGTGGGTTTAAAAACAAGAGATCTTCATCTTCTGTGCAAGTATTACAGGGACTTAGTTTTCTGCTTTTATTTGGAGAGTGCAGCCAAATGAAATTTTCCATGGGTAGAGAATAACTTGTCCATAGTTGGATGACAGCACAACACAAATATTTTTTTCTGTTTCCCCAAATTAAATTTTTCATAAAAGTTAACATTTTTATTATATGTACTGTCTGATTCTTTTTATCCGCCAAAGCACCAGACTTGTTTCCATCATACATAGATTAGAGAAGGGTACTTATTTGAAAAATAAACTATTCTCTTCAGATCATGACTCTGTCCTTAGCTCTGGGGTCTTGCCATTGAACTTGGCTTACTGAAGTTTGGGTGTTTTCAGTCCTTCTTCAAAAAATCCTTTTCCACTTTTACTTGCATTTTATTAATTTATTCATCCACATGAGACTACTGGGTACCAGTAAAACATACCGTTTTATATGCCTGTTTTATATTTTAGTGTTTCCCTAATAGCTATTTATTTCCATTGTTTTGATTATTTTGAATATTCACAACTGAATTTTCTGAAGTTTTTTTAGAATGTTGACTTTACAAATTATGTATTAGTCTTTTTTTTTTTTAGTTTTAGGAAGATTTGTCAGGTATGCAGTCACCTATGTACTAAGGCTGGGATGTAGCTTTAGATCTTCTGACTCCTGAGTTCATGTCTCTCCTCATTGCAGAGAGCATGTTGTAAACAAGGTCTTGTATGTTCCTTTATCTGACTCCATTTTTCTATTTACCCTGGCATTCCCTGCTGTCTGGCCTCGATGTATTTAACTGCCTAAATATTTGTGCTGTAGTTTTGTAGTGATTACCATTACCGTTCTAATATATGAAATATATTATTGTGCTGAGACACTGAATGGTTTTGAACACTATTCTAGAAACTTGGAGATACAAAAGTAATGCAATACATTGTCCTTACCATTGACTTTATCTTAGTGGGGAAGAAAAAAGTTATAGTTTTGAATTTGAAAGGATTTAGAAGATGCTACGAATATTAAAATGATCTCCAGTCCTGTACTGTGGTGAACTCAAAGGTGGGTTTCTTTCTTTCTTTCTTTCTTTCTTTCTTTCTTTCTTTCTTTCTTTCTTTTTCTTCCTTCCTTCCTTCCTTCCTTCCTTCCTTCCTTCCTTCCTTCCTTCCTTCCTTCCTTCCTTCCTTCCTTCCTTCCTCCTTTCCTCTCCTTTCCTCTCCTTTCCTCTCCTTTCCTTTCCTTCTCCTTTCCTCTCCTTTCCTCTCCTTTCCTCTCCTTTCCTCTCCTTTCTCTCCTTTCTCTCCTTTCCTCTCCTTTCCTCTCCTTTCCTCTCCTTTCCTCTCCTTTCCTCGTCCTCTAGCCTGCTCAGCTCATGCCTCTCCTGCACCTCTCCTCTCCTCTCCTCGTCCTCTCCTCTCCTCTCCTCTCCTCTCCTCATCCTCTCCTTTCCTTTCTTTCCTTTCTTTCCTTTCTTCCATTTTTATTTTTAAGGAGACTCTGCACCCAATGACCCAGTGTGGGTCTCAAACTCACCACAAGGTCAAAAGTCACTTATCCTACTGATTAAGCCAGCCTGGCGCCCCTGTTCCTAATGTTAAGCAGATGAGTAAGGAACTCAGGTTCTTTCGGTGGGTGACAAATGAGTCTGGGACTTCCAAGGCTTATAAAAGGAGTAGTAGCAATCATTGAGTGAACCCCCAGTCCATTATTACTCTTTTGTTAAGCATGCATTATTGGATTTAATCCTCACTGGAGTCTAAGTATTATCCTTATTTTGGAAATGTACAGTGTGGAGATTTTAGATAATTTGGGCAATCACCATAGCTAATCACCAGGGCAGTCAGGATTTGAACCAAAGTCCCTCAGAACACAAAGCCTGCAGAGTTAATCATTCCAAACCTGTGCTAGTAATAGTAAGCACCACAATGCAGGGAGAGGAGATTAGTGGCCTTGTCATTGATGGACATATCTTCTTGTCAGCTGAATCAGCTATTTTGCAGTGAGTGTAGAAGTGGTTGTAGGAAATTTCAAGTTCATCTGGAAGTTGTATTATTTGTTGTATGACTGTGTGATACTTCAGTTATAGATGTAGTTAGCCTAAGGGGACACACATATTTAAAACTTATTTCTAAATTTGCTCATGGTTTAATTTGTGGTCATTAGCTTTCAGGGTATTTCATTTGTACGTCTTAATGTGTGCACATATGTATGGGGGCACGTGTACTCACAATATCTAGAGTCATTTCGTCTGATTAAATCAGTTTTGACCTGTCAGAGGGATTCTTTATGGATTTCAGTGCTGTAAATTTATATAATTATGCAGCATTTTTATTTTTTGGAAGTTCATTTTCTTAAGTTTTATTTGTTAGTATAATTCAGCAATAATGGTGTCATATATTTTAGAGTGGTTTTTCTTTTTCCACCTCAATTTTGTAATAGCTTTGATTTTATATCAAGATATAAATTGCCAGGAAGAACACTGGTTATATCTTGGATGTAGTTTGGAGTTTGATTTATAAAATATGAAGTATATTTTAGAAAGGATATTCAGAATGAGATAGATGGTGGTGTATATTTGAAAGGAGCTATGTGATTGATTCCTTCTAGTTTGCTGTTTGGGGATTGTATTCTGTTTGTATCAGTAAGCTTTTTCATTTTTGTTAGCTTTGCAAAATAGAACTTTATCAAAATAGTGATGTTACTTGAGAAACTGGCTGGGGATAGAGGATTGGCAGGAAGCATTACCGAGAATAAGGTGATGAGGAGTGTATTTTGAAGGTGAAGAGAACCTAATTCACTTTTCTTTTTCCACAGTGTCCTTCTTCCCCTGCACCCTCCCACCCCCCCGCCCCCACCAGCTCTGCTCTGTAGTGGTTAGCAGAGGACATAGAAACATTGACCTGCTGCTCCCCGGATCACAGTAAAGTGTTCATATGCTTCCTGTTCTGTGTGCTTCCAAAAGAGGAAGTACTTGCCCACTCGTGCACCGGGCCTCCAGTGGCTAGCACACAAGTACATGCTTCATTCTCTTTCATTTGTATCTTCTAGTCCTTTGCTCTCTTGTTCCTCAGTCTGTGCGTTTTTAGGTTTAAGCTCCTGTGTGTCAGAATTCTGTAAACAACAGGAACTGCCCGCCAGTTTTGCCTGCACAGTACTCCTGCTGTTTGCGGTCAGAGCAGAAGCCACCGCAGACCTTACTCCCTTTGGGCGAAAGAGAAGTTCTCCTCTGAGTTCCACAACTAACGATAGTGGAGAAAGACCACATTGCTGAGGAGGAGATGTAGCCATAGAAAAAAGTTTTACCAAGAGTTCTTAAAAGAAGCCACAAGTAGTTTAAATTTGAGTTCATTTAACACGTTACTGAACATTTTCTCTGCTTTTTGTCTTTTGTAGGCAAGAATGCACAGTGGGAGATTCAGCTTGCAAGAATTCTGAGTCTGATCCAGAGGATTTTTCAGATGAAATCAATACGGAGAACCTTTATGGCACCTCTCCCCCCAGTACACCTCGGCAGATGAAACGCATGTCCGCCAAGCACCAGAGGAATAACGTGGGGAAGCCTGCCAATCGATCTGGTTTGAAAGGTGAGTCTGGTACTTATAAAAATAGACAGGCTTGGCACTTTCAGTATGTAATCTGTATAACGCATAACTACTGATTGATCCTTTCTATGATCATGTTTTTCTTTTTATCTTGAATTTGATTTTACTGCTGCTTTTAAATTTTACTTCTTAATTTTTGAATTATTACCAGTAGCAGTATTGTTAATAAAGGAGAAAATAATTCTCCAGAGATAGAAAGATTTGTCCTGAGTAATTGTTAAAGCCAGCGGTGTGAGGCATTTGTATACCTGTTGGTATATAGAAGAGGCCACGTGTGCGGGAATCCATGCACTCATCCAGGATGGCTGTTGATACATGAGAGAGATGGCTTTTTTATACTTTGAGTCGCTAGCTTTTGTCTTCCAGACATGATGTACTGGGCAGTTTGGGAGAGGCGGAGCCAGGCTTCCCTAGCCAGCCTGTGACGTGTGCTCTCTGTCAGTGACTGTGATGCTGTCCTACATATGCACAGCCCTCCTTCATGCTAAGCACAGTGCTTGGATGGTACCTCATCATGGACAGAACTTGCCTTCTACTTATCTCTCTGTTTGGAATCTCAGAGCCCTGATAATGTTCTGTTCCTAGAAGCTGGAAGTGTTTTCTGGTTTCATTTCATACTTCCTCCAGCATGTCACAGCTGTTCTTTTCTAAGGTAGATAAATCAAATCGTGCTGACTTGCTGCTTTCTTGTTCTCTACTTTCTGGCTCAGATCCTCAGATTGCTGAAGCCTTATGGGTTTAGAATTCTCCTATTAATTTCAGCAAGCCATTTGTCCTAAAACTGATCTCATAGCATTGTGGAATTCATTCGTCTCTTACTGCACAAAATATGGATTCTATTCTTTATCTTACCTGGGACATTTCCCTATCACATGGTCTCCCTTACTGACATCAAGTTCATGCCTATTTCTCCCTTTCTCTGGCCAGGTTCCCCTTTCTGCAGATATCTTCCACATATTGACCTTTTGTGGTTGTAAGGGGACACGTTCACTCTTTGTCTGCATTGTGGTCCTTCCTCAGGAAAGAAGGAAGGCAAGAGAAATGGATTTTGTTGTGTATATTTGCTTGGGTGAAATCTTGCCCAAGGAAGAATCCCTAAGCTTTAATAGTCTTTCTTTTCCACAGGGAAGGTGATTTCTTTTCTTTTCTTTTCTTTTCTTTTCTTTTCTTTTCTTTTCTTTTCTTTTCTTTTCTTTCTTTGGATTTTTGCATTCTCAAATTATTTATTTTTAAAGATTTTATTTATTTGAGAGAGAGAGAGCGAGCGAGAGAGAGCGAGCCCCTGTGAGTTGGAGGAGGAGCAGAAGGAGAGGATCAAGCAGATTCCATGCTGAGCATGGAGCCCGATGTGGGGCCTGATCCCATGATACTGAGATCATGACCTGAGCCGAAATCAAGAGTCAGATCCACCGAGCCACCCAGGCACCCAGGATATTTTTATTTTTATGTAACCTCTATACTCAGTGTGGGGCTCAAATTTACAATCCCCAAATCAGGAGTCACATACTCTACTGGCTAAGTCAGCCAGGCTCCCCAATATTTTACTTTCTTTTAAAAGTTTATTTGCACTAGGATATTAACCTGTGACCTGAACTTATTATCCCCTTTGGAAACTGATAGTTTTTCATTGCAATTTATTATCTTTAAAATCAATCTTTATTCATTTTCTCAAAGATAGCTATAGAAGTTCCTTATCTAATATTTTAGATATTATAAAGTAAAGTAGCATCTACTGAATCAATATTATTTAATACATATTTGCTTCGAGCTGGTAAAACTGAGAAGATGCCAGTAGCACATCTGCTGTTATTGGTCCATGCTATTTTAGAATAGGAGTTAAGGGCATAATTCTCACATTTTATAGATTGAGAAACTGCAGTATAGGGTTATTAAAGTAACTTTGAGGCCAGAAGTTTTGAGATAGTGACAGGACTATTTTTAGAAATAGTTCTCCTGGAAAAAAAAAATAAAAGAAATAGTTCTCCTGGTACTTGATTTGGACTTTTTCCTAGTACAAGCAGCAGATGTTAAACTTACCTGAATGCAGTACTTGAATTAAGTGTACTGTCTTCCACTAATCAGTCAGAAAACCAGTCACTAGATTTTTTTTTTAAGATTTATTTATTTATTTGAGAGAGAGAGAGCGTGTGAGAGAGCATGTGCATGCATACCCACATGAGGGCAGGGAGGGGCAAAGGGTGAGGAAGAGAGAAACTTAAGCAGACCCTATGCTGAGTGCAGAGCCTGACATGGGACTCGATTTCATTGAGATCGTGACCTGAGCCAAAACCAAGAATCAGACACTTAAGCAACTGCACCGAGCAGCCCTGGTGGCTTAGCGGTTTAATTCCTCCTTCCGCCCAGCGCGAGTCCCACGTCGGGCTCCCTGCATGGAGCCTGCTTCTCCCTCTGCCTGTTTCTCTCTCTCTCTCATAAACAAACAAACAAACAAACAAACTTAAAAAAAAAAAAAAAAACCCAGCATTACGAAACTGCACCGCCCAGGCACCCCAGTCACTAAGTATTTGTTGAGCTCCAACTGTCCTTCTGGGATGTGTGGGAAATAGAAAATGGAAGGTTGTTTCTTTTCCTTCAACTTTTTTCAACTATTTATTTCGTAAAATTACAGAATTTTAGCTCTGGAAGGAGTCTTAGAGACCTCCTATTCCAGTTCCTGCCAGGTAAAGAAATGTATGGCCATATGTCTTTTGACCTGTACCTATCTAACAGCAAACGTAAGAAACCAAAATCCTTAAAAACTTATTCTTTTTTCTTGTTGTCAAAGATTACATGTTTGTTATAGGAAATTTAGAAAATTAAAGCAAAAATAAATAAAAATACCTATAAAGCCAATACACGGAAGTAATAACTTTTACCATCTGTGGTGAAAGCCGTATCCCGCATAGGAATCATGCAGGTAAATAGGCAGTGCAGGCTTGTGCGGTGGAGCTAGAATGAAGGGTGGTGAGGAGAGGCTGCTGCGGTGTCCACAGGAGGGACTGGGAAGCCCTGGGGGTAGAAGACTTCTGGAACAAGTGACATTTGTGTTATGACCTCAGGGCTGAGGCCGGGAGGCCAATATTTCAAACTAGTGTGTGATTCATGATAATATATTGGTCTCTTAGTATTTTCAAGAGCTTTTAGAATTAATTAGGTTGGTCAGATTTATTTTAAAAGCTTTCCAAGGAAGTATGAACTGATGCATTCTTCCTTTCTCACTGCCACAAGCAAAGGCTCTCTGAATCATACTATTCACTTTAGAGCTGCAGTCCAAGTTGGACTCATCTTTTTAATAAATGTCACCAATAATATTTGCATTTTTTCTGGTTATCGCTGTATAACAAACCACCCCCAAAACTTGGTGGCGTGAAAGAACAACCATTTTATTTTGCTCATGATTCTTTGGGCCACATATTTAGGCAGATCATAGCTCATCTCAAACACATTATGTCTGGAGCTTTAACTGGAATGGCTCAGTTGGCTGAAGATGTTGTCATGGCCTGGATAGGGCCCTAAATGTGGGCTTTCACTTCTCCACATGGTGTCAGCTGCGTCTCTGTGGTCCAGCATGGCTCCTTTACTCACATGTCTAGTGTCTGGACTGAGAGCTGGCTAGCGTTGTTTTTTTCCCACATGACCTTCAACATGGTCATCCTAGGATTCTTCACAGCATACTTGTTCCTGGGTAATTGGAATTCTTACATGGCAGCTAGCTTCCCCTACAGCAAGTGTCATGAGAGAGATCAAGGTGAAAGTTGTAAGGGTTCTTAGCTTAGGAAGTCACATAACACCACTTCTGCTGCATGCTTTGGCTACACAGGGCTGCCAGAATTCAGTGTGGGAGGGGATCACACAGGGCATTTCAGCGGCAGATGTGGTTGCGGGCTGTAAGGCATTAGCACCTACCTGCATTTGATAGAAAGCTTTGGGGCATTAGTGCCCAGTCTCTCCTCTGTAAAGGCAGACATCATAAGCATCCCTGAAGGACTATAAGGACACAAGAAGGTATCTGAGGGCACCATGTTGTAAGGAGGGGAGAGTAACCATTAACAGTTTTTTGCTTTTTTTGTTTTTGTTTTTTTTTTTAGCAATGGTAGCTGTTGTCATGAACTGATTACATGGATATGATTCTTTAAATCTTTTTATTATTATAGGCTCAGAGTAACTACTACCAATCTATAATAGCAATGGACTACTATAGATTTATTTTTTGTAATTGGAAATTCAGTCCCAGGCCACTTTCTAACCAACTAGCTATAATTGAGAGTTCCCTTGAGACCCTCTTCACGTTCCATCATTTGCTAGAACTGTTCACAGAACTCAAGAACACACTTTACTTGCGTTTATGGTTTATTATAAAGGACTCAGGAACAGTCAAATGGAAGAGATGCATAGAGCAAGGGATTGGGGAGTTGGGGTGGGGGGAATGACCTGAGACTTCCCAGTCCCGCCAGCATTAGTGTCCCATTCCCTGGATGTGTTAACCAGCCTGGAAGCTCATCACATTTCCTTGTTAAAGAGTTTTTATAGAGTTTAATCTCCAGACTGCCCCCTCCTAACTCCCTTCTGGGAGGTTAGGATGATGAATGGGAGGTGCTAAAGGTTCCAGCCTACTAATTATTTCCTTCTTCTGTGCCCAGCCCTGTCCTGAGGCTATCTAGGAGCATTCCCTAAGTCACCTCATTAGCATAAATACATATGTGATTGAAAGGGGCTCCTGTGAGTAATAAAAGATGCTCCTATCATTCAGGAAATCCAAAGGTTTTTGTTGTTGTTGTTGTTTTAGCAGTTCTGTGCCAGAAACCTGGACAAAACCCAAATATATTTCTTATTATATAACTCAGTGAGCAACTGCTAGCAAAGGTGTGGGGAGATGACAGCTTTCATACAATGCTAATGGGAGTGTAAATTGTCTCAATCCTTGTGGGAAAGTAATTTGTTAGTATAGTTAAGCGATGGTTGGTTATGTCCTTGACCCCACA